TAGTGTGAGTGCGTCTGTGTGTCTCTCTCTCTGTGTGCGTGTGTGTGTCTATGAGTGTGTCTCTGTGAGTGTGTCTGTGTCTCTCCAACCTCTGTATGTATGTTTGTGAGTGTATGTGTGTGTCTCTTCCATGTGTGTGTGTTTATGAGTGCCTGTCGGAACGTGTATGTGCGTCTCTCTCTCTCCTCTCTCTTTGTGTCTATGAATGTGTCTGTTTCTCCCAATTAAATGGGGAGATAGGCAAAGCTTTAAACTAGTAAGAGTGGGAGGGAGGTTTACAGCTACAGTTAAATGTAAACCGACATTGCAAGGAACAGTCATGGCTGTAGAGCAGAGTAGCGACTTGGGAGATAAAGAAGAGTGTGTCAAGTAGGGACAAAGACGCTCAACAAAGGAAATAGGGCATTAACGAATAGAGGAAATAGTAAGACGTCAAAATTGAATGCCCTCTATCTGAATGCACGAAGCATTCATAACAAGATAGACAAAGTAAGTGCACATACAGACATAAATGGGTACGATCTAGTGGCTATTACTGAGACATGATTACAGGGAGACCAAGGGTGGGAGCTAAACATTCCGGGGTATTCGATGAATAGGAAACATGATCGATGAATGTGGAAAATGAGGTGGTGGTGGTGGGGGGGTGGTAGCCCTGCTAATATAGGATGAGATTAAAACAGTAGAGAGGAAGGATTTAAAATCAGAAAATCAGGATGTAGAATCAGTATGGTTGGAAGTAAGAAACAACAAGGGGCAGAAAACATAGTGGGAGTAGTTCATAGAAACCAAAACAGCAATTACAGTAGGGTATTAATCAGGAAATTGGAGGAGCATGTAGCAGGGGGAATACACTAATAGTGGATGATTTCGATCTTCATATAGACTGGGAAAACCAAATTGGCAAAAGTAAATTAGAGGATGAGTTTATAGAGTACATTAGAGTTTTCAAGAACAATATGCTGAGGAACCAACCAGGGAACAGGCTATCCTAGATTTTGTTTTGTGTAATGAAATAGGGCTAATCAGCAATCTGGAAGTCAAGGCTCCTCTAGGGCAGAGTGGCCATAACATGATGGAATTTAACATTAAGTTAGAGAGTGATATAGTTGAATCCGAAGCAAGAGCCTTAAATTTAAATTAAGCCAAATTTGCAAGTATGAGAGAAAATTTGGCTAAAATAAACTGGTAAATTAGATTAAAAAATATGATGGTAGACCAGCAATGGCAAACGTTTAAAGATATAATACATAATTCCCAGCGATCTCATATTCCCTTGAAAAATAAAAATACCACAGGAAAAGTGGTTCAACCTTGGCTAACTAGAGAAGTTAGGGAAAGTATACAATTAAAAGAAGAGACCTATATTACTGCCAAAAAGAGCAGTAAACCTGAGGATTGGGAGGGCTTTAGAGATCAGCAAAGGAAAACCAAGAAATTGATTAAGAGGGAGAAAATGGAATATGAGAATCAACTAGCTAGGAACATAAAGACATATTGTAAGATTTTGTACAAGTATATAAAGTGACTATCAAAAGTAAATGTGGGTTCATTGCAGGCAGAGACAGGAGAAATTGTAATGGGGAATAAAGAAATGGCAATCATTAAACAAATATTTTGCTTCTGTCTTCACATTAGAGGAAACTGAAAACTTACCAAAAATTGAGGGGAACCTGTTTGTGAGGAACTTAAAGAAATGAACATCAGTAAGGCAATAGTACTAGAGAAACTGATAGGAATAAAAAACAATAAATCCCCTGGACCTGATGGCCAGCATCCTAGGGTTTTAAAAGAGGTGGCTGCAGAAATAGTGGATGCTTTGTTTTTGATCTTCCAAAATTCCCTGGATTCTGGAATGATTCCCAGTGATTGGAAGGTCACAAGCGTATTTAACGCTGATATTTAAAAAGGCTGGGAGATAAAAAATGGGGAACTATAGACCAGTTAGTCTGACAACAACAACAACAAGATTCCATTTATAAAGCGCCTTTCACGTCAGGAGGACGTCCCAAGGCGCTGCACAGCTGACATCAGTGGAAGGGAAAATTCTAGAGTTCTTAATTAGGGACATCATTGTGGGATACTTAGAAAATCATAACATGATTAGGCAGAGTCAACGTGGCTTTACGAAAGGGAAATCATGTTCAACAAATCTTATAGAGTTTTTTGAGGATGTAACAAGCAGGTTAGATAGGGGGGAAACCAGTATCTGTGGTGTATTTGGATTTTTTTCAGAAGGTATTTGACAAGGTGCCACATAAAAGGCTGTTGCATAAGATTAGAGCCCATGGAATTAAATGTAATATATTAGCATGGATTGGAGAGTGGCTAACGGGAAGAAAACAGAGAGTAGGATAAACGGGTCCTTCTCAGATTGGCAGAATGTGACTAGTGGAGTGCCACGAAGATCAGTGCTTGGGCCTTAATTATTTACAGTCTATATCAATGACTTAGATGAGGAAATAGAACTTAGCATATCTAAATTCGCGGACAGTAAAAATATAGGTGGGAGAATAAGCTGTGAGAATGACACACAAAGAATGTCAAGGGAAATAGATAGTCTGGGTGAGTGGGCAAGAAGGTGGCAGATGGAGTATAACGTGGGGAAGTGTGAAGTTATTCACCTAGGTAGTAAAAATAGAAAAGCAGATTATTTTCTAGAGGGAGAAAGACTAGGTAGTGTTAGTGTTCAGAGAGTTTTGGATGTCCTTGTACACCAGTCACAAAAAGTTAGTATGCAGGTACAGCAAACAACTAGGAAGGCTAATGCCATGTTGGTGTTCGTTGCAAAAGGGTTAGAGTACAAGAGTAGGGAAGTCTTGCTGCAGTTGTATAAGGCCTTGGTGAGACCGCACCTAGAATATTGTGTGCAATTTTAGTTTCCTTATTAAAGAAAGGACATACTTGCCTTAGAGGTTGTGCAGCGTAGATTCACTAGGTTGGTTCCTGGGATGAGGGGGTTGACCTATGAGGATAGGTTGAGTAAACTAGGCCTATATTCTCTAGAATATGAAAGAATTAGCGGTGATCTTATAGAAACTTATAAGATTCTTAAGGGTCTTCACAGGGTAGATGCCGTGAGACTGGTTACCCTGGTTGGAGAATCTAAAACTAGGGGTCATAGTCTCAAGATTAAGTGTCAGCCTTTTCAAACTGAGTTGAGGAAACATTTCTTCACTCAGAAGGTAGTGAATTTGTGGAATTCTCTTCCCCAGAAGGCTGTGGATGCTCAGTCCTTGAACATATTCAAGGCTGAGGTTGATAGATTTCTAAAGGATAGAGGGATTAAGGGATGTGGGGATAGGGCAGGTAAATGGACTTAGGTTAGAAGATCAGCCATGATCTTATTAAATGGTGGGGCAGGCTCGAGGGGCCGAATGGTCTACTCCTGCTCCTACGACTTATGATCTTATGGTCTCTCTCTGTGTCTGTCTGTGTGTGGTCTCTCTTTGGGTCTGGTCCCCACACCCCAAATGGGCCACCCAGTTTTTGTTAAAGAAGAAATCAATATTTTTTTGCAACAACAACAACAAGATTCCATTTATAGAGCGCCTTTCACGTCGGGAGGACGTCCCAATGTGCTGAACAGTTGGGTCAGGACCCGAGCAGGGGAGAAATGGTCAGGGTGAGGGGAGGGAAGGGAGCGAGGAGTGGGTAGAGAGTCGAGAGGGGAGGTGAAGGCACGGTCAAAGAGAAAGGTCTTGAGACCGGCCATGAAGGAGGAAAGGGAGGAGGCAAGGCGAAGGCACTGGGGGACAGAGTTCCAGAGCCTCGGGGCTGAGAGGCTGAAGGCCCGCCCACCGATGGTAGGGCGGTTAGGGCGGCGGGGGATGTGGAGCAGATCGGAGCCAGAGGAACGGAGGGTACGGGCAGGTAGGTAGGTAGGGGGATAGTAGGTCAGAGAGGTAGGAGGGAGCAAGGCCGTGAATGGCCTTGTAGATGAGGATGAGGATCTTGAATTCGATACAATGTAATATGTGTAATTACGTCAAGTTTACTTTTTATCAATAAAGTGAAAACATGTAGGTTGGTAGTAAAATGTACCTCTGTGCCTCAATGGCACCAATCACCACCTCCCACCACAAAATGTTCTAATTTACCCGCAATTTGGGGCAAAATATATCTGCATTTTTCTATTGGCCCAATTCATAGGTAGCTCATTCCTCTTATACTGGGGATCATTCTGGTTGCTCTACTCTGCACTGCCTCTAGGGCCGCTATGTCAGGGCCACGAGAACTGTTTGCAGTCCATTACTTTGCTTTATTGAGGTTTGTCCTCACAAAGCGATAAGGGAGGAGGAATTGAGAGACATCTCCTCAGAGAGGTCCATCACTGTCATCAACCTATTGATCTCCAGTTCACTCTGATTTTTTGGGAGGTTGCACTTTGGCTCACGTGAGTGACTCAGTTGCGCAGAACTAGGAAGAAATCTGGCAATTGCTGGAAATCTGAAATAACCAGAACGTGCTGGAAATACACCACAGGCCAACACATTGAAAGTGAAAACATGATGATCTGATGGAAGTTCACATAAGGGTCATCCCTGAAACTTGAACCGAATTTTCTCTTTGAAATCCCGAACGCTTCCCACAACCCCCACCCCCACCGCCTTTCAGAATAAGATACAATGCAGATAACATTTTTATTTTTTGATTGCGGGGGGGGGGGGTGGGGGGGTTGGTTGCCGGTGGAGGAAATAAGCTCTTTGGATACGGTTTCGAAAGCGTAACACTGGAAAGCGAAAGTAAACGTTCAGGTTCCCCCTCCCCCACCACATCTCCCCACCCAACACACACACAACCCCACCACACATACACCCCCCCACCACCAACACACACACACACACACACACAAAAGGCTCAGGTCTGTTCATTTCTTCTCCCTCTCCCTCTGCGCGCAGCCTAACGTGGCGCAGGAAGGCTGGTGATCGACGGGCGGGTTTGCCAATCACAAGTGAGAATTCGGGGGCGGGGTTAACCGGGGGAGCCGGGCCAGCCAATTGGAGGAGAGAGGCGCTGTCAGGTTTGGTTGGAGTGCAGGCGCTCTGGTGGCAGTAGCACTGTCAGCAGTGAGTGGCTACTTTCTCTCCCTCAGCCTCTGCTCACACAGCTCAACATGGAGGTAGGTATTATTGTTGGCTCTTTGCTCCTGTTTTGTTTCTTTTTTTTGAAAAAAAATTGCAATGACTCTGAAGCAGATGCAATGCAATGGTTGTAGCCTTAACCTCCTCCTTAACCCCCCCCTCCCCACTATGATTGGGGGCTCAGTAACTACTGGAGTGCATCAGTCTGTTTTATTACCCCATCTTTTATTGTCTGTGTGTGTGTGTCTCCCCCTCCTCTGAAGCCAGTTATTTCTGGCCTTGTTGACTTCCCAACCAGATCCTATCTGAACCTCCCCTCCCCCACAAATGCAGCTTTAAACAACTTCCTAGGTCAGTTGTCTGTGTGCTTTTTTTAAAAAAAAAGCAAAAAAAAATTAAAAAATCAATAGCCTAAAACAAGCAGCACAGACCCTGTGCCAATGTTGTTTTGTTAACCTATGACCGGCTCTTGGGTTTGAGCTGCAAAGCCTGTTTGCACCTGGTTCCTTGGAGCTGCCCGGGGAGGTGTGACCTGGGCTGGCTGGAGGATCTGGCTGTTTTCAAAGCAAATCATGAGCAGTTTTTCTTTTTTGTGCGTGTTGCATTTTTGACATGGCAATAAGGCTTCTCAAGCAGTATTTCGGTCCGTGTAATACCTCGTCTGACTGGCAATGGAGCTCCCTGTTGCCATGCATTTTGTTTTTACAATGTGCCCACTCTCTGTAATCACTTAGGAATTTAGAGGTTGCTAAACGAAATAAAGACCAAGCTCCATCTAGTTTCGCTTCTACCAACCTGCATGCTACCATAATAGAGAGGTTGGTAGTAATTAATTCTGTATGGATTAGTCTACAACAGACTGGAAAGCTTTACGTACTTAAGATCCAAAGTTGCCTGGTTCTTCTAAGCATACTACACTTACTATGTGTCGCGTCTCAAATTACTTGTATATTGTTATATACAAATATATTATTTTCAAAAATAAATCTTATCTAATTTGAATGAATGAACACTTTCTGCTTGCACCACTTGTTGGGTTTACAATTGTCTTGATATCATAGAATTATAAAGCACAGAAGGAGGTACCCAAATCAATTCCACTTCCCCGCGCTCTCTTCATAGCCCTGCAAACTTGTCCTCCCCAAATAATTATCTACTTCACTCTTAAAACCACCCTTTCAAGCAATGCATTTCAGATCCGAACACTCGCTGTGTGAAAAAAATTCTCCTCACCTCCCCTCTAGTTCTTTTAACAACTATTTTAAGTCGGTGTCCTTGGATTACCGACCCACCCGCCAGTGGAAATAGTTTCTCCTTGTTCATCCTATCGAATCCCCTCATAATTTTGAAAAGTTCTATTAAGTCTTGTCTTAACCTTCTCTGCTCCAAGGAGAATAATCCTAGCTTCTCTCGCCTCTTCTGATAACTGAAGTCCCTCATTCCTGGAACATCCTGGTAAATCTCCTTTGCACTCTCTCCATTGCCTTGACATCCTTCCTAAAGTCCGGTGCCCAGAACTGAACACAGTACTTTAGCTGAGGCCTCACAAGTATTTTATAAAGTTTCATCATAACTTCCTGACTTTTGTATTCTATGCCCCTATTAATAAAGGCTAGTATCCCATATCCCATGGAGTCCTGTAGCTCAGTGGTTAGAGCACTCACTTTGCAAGTGAGAGACCTGGGTTCAATTCCAGGCAGAGGGCGAAACCTTGGGCAAGTTTCCTTACTCCACACGCCTAATAATAATCCCTCCAACAAACAAAACAGTAATAAATTGGTCATTTTCAATCCATGATTGTTTGTGGGACATTGCTGTGCGCAATTGCCTGCCCACAAATATACAGTCAATTCACTTTATAGTCTATTCTGTAAAGTGCTTTGGACGTCTAGAAGACGTGAAAAGCGCTATATCAAATGCAAGGATTATTATTATTATATGCTTTTTTAACAGCAGTATCTTCATGTCCTTCCACGTTTAAAGATTTACTTGTATGAACCCTCGGGTCTCTCTGTTCCTTCACTCCCTTTAAGATTGTACCATCAGCTTATATTGCCTCTCATTCATCCTTCCAAAATGTATCACTTTGCATTTCTCCACATTAAACTTCACTTGCCATGTGTCTGCCCATTTTATCAGTCTATCTATGTCCCTTGCAGTCTGCTACTATCCTCCTCACTGTTTACTACTTGCCCTAGCTTAGTATCATCTGCAAACTTGGAAACTGTACTCCCTATACCCAAGTCCAGGTCATTTATATAGATCAAAAACAGCAGTGGTCCCAATACTGACCCCTGGGGGACACCACTGCACACTTCCCTCCAGTCAGAAATACAACCGCTCACCCATCACTTTCTGTCTTCCAGCCAATTCTGTATCCATACTGCCACTGTCCCTTTAATGCTGTGGGCTTATATTTTGCATACAAATCTCTTATGTGGCACTCTATCGAACACCTTTTGAAAATCCATATAAACTACATCAACTGCACTACCTTCACCTTCACTCTGTTACTTCATCAAAAAAATTGTATAATAGTTATCTAAATCCCTATGAGGTTCCCGTTTGGCTGTGTTAGTACACAAAAATAGTGCTTCGCCGGATGTAAAGTGAAGTGGCTGTATTTTGTGGCGGAATGTGGCAATCAATTTGCACATGGCATTATTCCACAAACCGCCATCAAGTGAATTATTCATTTTATCTGGGCCAGGACACTGGGAGAAACACTCTTTGCTTTTTGAATAGTGTTAGGGGATCTTCAACATCCACCTGAACAGAGGGGATCTCAGCATAATCCGCCTCATTTGAAGGATGGCATCTCCAACGATGCATCATACCCCCAACAGTGGAGTACATCCTAGCACTATGTTAGAGTGCAAGTCTGGAGTATGTAATAAATGCAATTAGTTGTTGTCATAGGATTGCAGACTACTCTGTGTATTGTCTGGCTTCTGTGAAACATTGTGAGTGCAGACACTGGATACAAAATTGCCACTAATTTGATAGTAATTGACAATCTGACTGAGAAGCCTAGTAATTGCTGGTGCAGGAATGGGAAAAGTCACACTGTTGTATTAGATGTTTTGCAACACTTGTTTGGGGCTACGACAAATAACTGGTGCAGAATAAACTGGAATGCTTTGCTCCATAGATGTGTAGTTAGTTCAAGGTGCTGTGCCTGACTATCGTAGAAAAATGTTCCATTCTCCTTTTACACCCTCCCCATAAGAAAACTAAAGGTAATTTAGGCACTGATTTCAACAACATGTGTAACTAGTTAGGTCACCTTGGTTAGTGCAGTAGCTATGGGAACATTTGTTGTACAGCTTTTATATTTTTATTAAATCTTGTGAATGATACAGTATTACTGATTTTATTTTAAAGCTTCAGAAAGCCTTAGGATATCATAAGTATTTAAAAATAGCTAAAAGTATTTATTGAATGAATAAAGAATATTCTCTCAACAACAACCTACACTTACATAGCGCCCTTCATGCAGGGTAACATCTAAGAGCACTCAGGAGAATAATTAATGCATAATAATAATCCTTGCATTTCACATCGGGCGGTGGGGAGAGATGAAAATGAGGGCTTCGAGGGATGTCCTGTAAAGTGGAGTGACTGTATTTTGTGGACGAATGTGGTAGCCAATTTGCGCACAGCAGTGTTCTACACACAGCCATGAAGTGATTGGCAACCTAGACGTTCTGCTCAGTCATGAGATCCTGCTTCTAAGTGACTTCAGTTCCTAACGCTCAGCCTTTGAGGCAGTGCCACTTGGGGGTCCGAGGTCTAAATTATTTTCAAGGTCTCAACAAATCCCAGGTAACGGCGTTAGCCAATTGGACATGGTAGAGTTCAAAACTTAATCATTTTCGCCACCTTCTGCAAAGGTGGCATGAAAGAGGAGACAAATGAATGCTTAATTCACGGTGTATTAAAGTGCTTATTATGTGATAAATATTTGCTTGTGGGAATTTTGTATTCATAAAGATTTTTACTACTTCCAGGTATTTCCTAAAGTCAAAGCAGTCATCGACTTGCGCATCTTCAAGGACAGACATGAGGCGTACAACATTATTCATTCCAATAAAGCACAGTGCAAGATTGGTGCAAATTGTTATGAAGTCACAGGATCATTTCAAGAAATTGATGAGATTCACACAAGATTATTGAAACTCAAAGCAGTTTCTTGCAGTGTAAATCCTTCTGCAGCTCTGAGCGCTCCGAATCACCATGCAGAATTATGCATCGACAAAATATACTTTGACTACATTTCAGCCATTTGCAGCAACCAGCTACGAAATATAGAGCAGGAATGTAACGTTGCCATTAAAAAGACAGAAATAGCTGGAACATGTAAGATTGAATTTCATTCTGTATCAAAAAGCAAAATGATGTCCAGTGCTGCAAAGGACAGATTTATAACTCTGTATCAACGCGTCGCAACAAATTTTGACTTAAAGACTATAGAACTTCGTAATTTTAGCAAAGAAACAACAGAGAAGGGGATAAGGGCATTCCTTCAAAAGGAATACCCAAAAGTTGTGGTTGAATTTAAGGGTCCAAAACTCACTTTAGCTGGAAGCCCCTCTGAAACAAAGAGAGCTGAGATAGCCCTGCTTTCCAACAAGTGTCAGGGTAATCGTTTGAAGTCAGCAACGAATGCAGCAGCCTCTAACATGGATATCACAGATTCAAGCACAAAACCACTTTCATCACCAAGTCACCACAAAACCAAATCAATTTCTGCTGCAGCGAGTAGCAAACTGGACTCAAAAGCTGAAGACAAAACCTGTCCAGTTTGCTTAGATGAAATCAATGAGCGAGAGACCTTAAAAAAATGTAAACATTCATTCTGCAGGGAATGTATAAAAGCGGCTTTTAGAGTCAAGTCGGCGTGTCCTATATGCGGAGAAGTGTATGGCGAGTTAATGGGTAATCAACCTCAGGCTGGGACAATGAAATCCTATACCACAGGCATTCACCTTCCTGGCTATGAAAAGTATGACACCATTGTGATAAATTATGCCATACCAGATGGCATACAACAGGTGAGTAATTCTGCTACCTAGTAGCATCTTGCTGAATTGAAGGTATGGGACTTTTTGGTCAGCCCCCCAAATAGATTTCCTTGATTGAATATTGATTGATGGCCACACCATAAACATCACCAGTCAGTAGCTACTGGAAACGAAACATTGATTTAAAACAGACTCACTTAAGAACTAGTGAGAATGTTTGACGGCCACTTCAGGCCCAAGGGCCATGGCTTGAACTAACCACTGGTTAGAACATTGTACTAGTCAATATGCAAAGGGAGTTGTGAAACTTCTCCTGCTTCATAAAATAATTTTGTTGCATTGCTTGATTCCATTTCATTAGAAGTTTTACAGCTGTTGACTCATTGTATTTGTTGGTGGCACTTTCTCTGTAGCCTTCAATATTACAGGGGAAGCCTGTTGTAGCCTCTTGTCAGGACTTTGAAGCCAGATAGTTTATACTGATCCTCTTGTACTGGGGGTATGCTCTGGTGGCAGAGGTGTCGTCCTTGGATGAGATGTTAACCAAGGTTCTGTTTGCCTGTCAGGTGCATGTTAAAGATCCCATGGCACTTTTTGAAAAGAGAAATGTGTCCTGGCCAACAATCCCCACCCCCCAATTTGGTTATCCACTTCATGGGGTTTGGTGGGACATGTAATGTGCAAATTGGTTGCTTTGTTTGCCTACCACTGAATGACCAGTTTAATTAAGAGGATTGTTGACTAGGTCACCAGGAGAAAGAAAACCTCTTCTCATTTCAGTACGTCATTGATTGCATTCCACCAGTATACACAAAAATCATCCATTCACCCCTACTTTTAGCCCATAAAATTCAGTCACTACACTTCACAGTATATCCTATGAAGTGCTTCGAGACATCTTGATGACGTGATAAGGCACTATAGCAAATGCAAGGATTATTATTGCTGTCTGCTTCCTTAGCAATCAATTGTTGAATCTGCAAATATGTGCAAACTAGATTCCGTCACGTATTTCATTCCTGTAGGGAGTACACAGTGGGGAGTATTGGCACATTCAAAACTGTACCAACGATGTGATGTTGAGTGATGATTCATGAGTGCCAGATATCACATGTTTTAACTTTTTTATGTGCGCACACAACCAAGCCTGCTGTACAAAACAGCAGTTTTGCACAAAAGTAATCTGCTGACTTTACTTTTCGAGATGTGGCGCTACGTAAGGGAAAGTGAGTGAGCGTATTGGTACGGGAGCTTTATCGCACTGCATGTTGGTGAAATCGATGCTTTGGTTGGTGCAGTTTTTTTTTTGTCTTGTGCTGGGAATTGATTCTGAAAGATAACGTTTCCGGCACAAGATGGAGTGAGAAGTGTTGGTCTCTCTTATTCGATTCTGGTACAGAGTTTTTTTCAGACTGATGCAGAATTTATTGTCTGGAACATGTAGTACTGTTATTCGCAGTTCATCTTTTTTTCTCCCCTAAATTGAACACTTGTGTCCTTGGGCAGTCTTGGCATCCTGGCCACAAATGTGGAGTCCTGTAGCTCAGTGGTTAGAGCACTCGCTTTGCAAGCGAGAGACCTGAGTTCAATTCCAGGCAGGGCGAAACCTTGGGCAAGTTTCCTTACTCCACACGCCTAATAATAATCCCTCCAAAAACCAAAAACAATAATAAATTGGTCATTTTCAATCTATGACTGTTTGTGGGACACTGCTGTGCGCAATTGGCTGCCGTGTTTCGCCCACAAATATACAGTCAATTCACTTTACAGCATATTCTGTGACGCGCTTTGAGACATCTAGAAGATGTGAAAAGTGCTATATCAAATGCAAGGAACATTATTATTATTAAATCGGCCAGAAAAATTGATCATTCCCTTCATCCCTGTCTGTGGGACTTGCTGTGGGCAAAATGGCTACTGGGTCTTGCCTAAGAAAAAATAGTTACTCCACTTGCAAAGCACTTTGAGATGTTTAATGTTAGTGTTCCTCCCTCCACAGGCTGCAGATAGATCATCCAGAACTCTGCAGCCTGTGTCCTCTCCCGCACTAGGCTCCCCGACCCTATCTCCCCCATCCTTGCCATCACACAGAGGATACAGTTTGAGATCCTGGTCCTCACCTTCCAAGCCCTCCACAGTCTTGCTCCCCCCACCCCCTCTGCCACCGCCTAACCCCCTACCATCCTGCTCGCTCTCTCTGCTCAGCGGGCTCCAGCCTGATTCACGTCCCCTGCCTCGCTTGCCCCACTATTGGCGGGTGAGCATTTTGCCACTCTACCCCCACCCTCTGGAGCTCCATCCTACAGTCCCTCCGCCTCAACCCTCCTTTGCCACCTTCAAGACCCATCTCAAGACCCTCCCCTTAGACTGTGCTTTTGATCTCCCTGTTTTCTCCCTCCACTCACCCCGACCCTCAGCTCGGGTCTGTAACTCTGTCTGTAACAGCGCCTTGGGACGTCCTCCTGACATGAAAGGTGCTTTACAAATGTAATTTTGTTGTTGTTGTTGTTGTACAGGACAACACCATTATACCGTGCCTGCTATAACACGGATTATGAAAATCAAAATTGTGCCATACAAATCCTGTTGTTGATAGAAATAGCACCGACTTTCTGATTGCTGCTATCGTCATTTCCCGTGTGCCATAGTCACCCACTCTGAAGGAAATGCAGTTAATGTCACTTCTTGTGCACTATTTGCAGGATGTTGAACTAGCACATCTTCGTGAAGGAAGTGACATTAGCTGTGCTTTCTCGACATAATCTACACACACACTTACAACATGCAGGAAGTGATGACACTAGGGACCCAGGAGTTTAATATTTTATTGTGCCTTTATGATGTGGGCCTTGAGACCTTGGACCCAGAAAATGCTACAAGGAAGTTGTTTAGTAATTTATTTAGGGGGAATTTATTCAGTCATCATATATTGTTGTAGCTAAGTTTCATTTTAGTCTTGCTTATCTTCATGCTTTTTTATTTTTAAGTTTGTATTGCTAGATTGTTAATGTTGTGTTTTTTTGTATATGGTAGCCTGAGCATCCTTCTCCTGGACAAAGATATACTGGCACAGGACGTATTGCCTATCTCCCAGATACACTTGAGGGCAGAAAGGTTCACAAACTATTGGAACGTGCCTTCAACCAAAGACTGGTCTTTACTATTGGAACATCCAGTACTACTGGGAGGAGCAATGTCGTAACATGGAATGATATTCATCACAAAACTAGTACATCTGGAGGACCATCAATGTATGTATGTTATTATATTCAACAGAGTAAAAAATTATGATCCTTTGCTGTATTGCATAGGAAGGTAATTTGCACAATGTGGCTATTATTTAGGCATCCCGGCACTAATCTTTGCCAGCAACATCTCATGAACAGGAGCAAAATGATTCAACAAATGTCACACCCATTTTGGTCCATTTGGATGAGGGAGGAACATCAGTCAGGCTCGTAGGAACCTGCTCATTTAGAATATTTATCATCTACCTGAACAGGCAAATGGGACCTCAGTGCCATTGTCCAATTGGCAGAATGCTAATACAGTACGATATTCGTGCTGTTATGAAGAAATTGTCAAGTATTACTTATTCTGACCACAAGAGGGCCACCTGCTTCATCAGATCTGTGACGGAATCACTCACTTCACTTTGGTTGCTTTCAGTCGTATAATAAATCTTTCCCCAAAAATTGGGTATTTTGGAAAATATTGATGTTGGACACGTGAAACTTTCTCATGCAATGGTAACCTAGTTCTATTCAGATCATGCCAAATTCTTAATCATAATTTTGATAGGCATTTTCTGTTAATTACCACAAAAAATGTCTTCAAAGTCAAAGACGGAATTCAGCAATTTACCAATTTCAGGACATTTAGAAAAGCTACCAAAATAGAGTAAATTTAGACCCAAGAACAATTTCTTTCAATTTTATTTACAGGCCTTATCTCCTTTACAGGCTGTTCGCATATCTTCCAAACAACAACTTGCATGTACACAGCATCTGTAACACAGGACAGCATCTCCGACCATGATTTAACCGTTTTTTTCCCATTTGGTTGCCTTCAATCTCTATGGCATAATCATTCATGGAGGCTTAGGTGATTAGTTTTTACTGAAAGAGTGGTGGAAATGGATTCAATAACCACTTTCAAAAGGAATTAGACACGTACTTGAAAATAAAAAAAATGCAGTGGTATGGGGAAAGGGGGGAGGGGAGTGGGACTAGTTGGATAGCTCTTCCAAAGAGCTGGCACAGGCATGATGTACTGAATGGCCTCCTTCTGTGCTGTAATATTCTATGATTATATAATCCTGTAGTTCAGTGGTTAGAGCACTCGCCTCGCAAATAAGAGACCTGGGTTCGATTCCCGGCAGGGCAAAACCTTGGGTAAGTTTCCTTACTCCACATGCCTGATAATAATCCCTCAAGAAAAAAAACAATAATAAATTGGTCACTTCAATCCACGACTGTATGTGGGACACTGCTATGCACAATTGGCTGCCGCGTTTCACCAACAAATATACAATAATTCACTTTGCAGTATATTCTGTGAAGCACTTTTGAGACGTCTAGAAGACGTGATAAGGCCCTATATCAAATGCAAGGATATGATTATTATTATTATCATCACAGGGTTATACCTAGCACAACTGGAATGTAAATAATTTAATCTAATCTATAATACGGAATGAACTTTTTGACTCCAGATACTTATTTTTGCATTGTGGCGAGATGTAAATTTTTCTTTTTAAGAACTATTTCTGCAGGATGAATTAATTTATTAATGTTAACAAACTTATTTGTTCTTTTAGGTATGGATATCCTGATCCAACCTACCTGGATCGCGTGCAAGACGAATTGAAAGCCAAAGGAATTCACTGAAATACTCCAAATATGAACGCTCTTGAGCAACTTAATATGATGATTTGTTCTGGGAATTATTGTTGCTCAATTTTCCAGGATGCAGTTAAATTAGAAAATTTACTGCCTGAATATTGTAAATTTGTAAAGTACTTAAATGGATATAGTGTTTATCACAATACTGTTATTCATTTATTTGTATGATTGTGTAGCAAATATTTAAAAACCTAAAATGTCTGAAATTCCACCGACGTCTCAAGGTGTCAGATCAATTTTGCCGTAAAATTTAAGATCGAGCGTGGTTTGTGGAAAAATACTTGAATTCAGTATTCGTTCAGAAACCGTTTTTTCACAGTTCTTAATAAGAAACTTGGATTCCAAATTGTGATTGAATTGAATCATACACAAGACAGAATTGCATCTAAAATTGATCTCAGACATTCCGATTCTTTGCAGGTGAGTGTTCAGGTCTACACACAGGCAAGGTTGTACAATAAGTACTGAGATTGATGAGCACCAAAGAGGAATAAAATTACATTAAACTATCAAGCAAAATGCATGGATTCTCTGGACTTTCTCTCAGGACTATTGTATTGACCCTGATGCTTTAATCCTAGTTTAATTCCCTCCTCTTCATGTGTCCTTTTTGCAGTGCTGCCTCTTCTTCCTTCAGTGCTCTTTCTCCTTCCTGCTGTCTTTCTATGTGAATTTTCTCTTTTTTCTTTCCCTCCCATGTAGTGTCATATAACCATAGAGGTCTCCTCATTGTACTAAAACCTGAGATTCCTCAGAGAATCGAAGACCGAGCATGATGTCTTGACTGGATCTGCCACAGGACATGAAAAAAAGTTGAACCAAAAGACAATCTCTTCCCCCCGCCCCCCACAAAAAGAAGTAAATTAACTTTAGGCATTCCAGGATAGAGCAAAAACTTGATCAAAAAGGTGATTCCTTTTGTATAAAAGACTTGACTTGCATACTAACCAATATTCCTGTGGGCTTCTTGGTAACTTTAGTATAGGTGACTATAAATCGGAACTATTGTATTTTCTGATGTAATAATGCGTAGGAAAATGATTCCAAAAAGTTCAAGGGAAAATTTGCAAACGGCTGCAGACTCGGAAGGAAAGTGCGTTCGTGATCTGGGAGCACCAGTGGTCTGACAATCTTAAAACATTACCAGAAAATATGTATAAACCAGGATTTTACATACAAAAAAGTATAGTTATTATTACAAAGCATTGTGAGGTCTGTTTTGATTTGGGGATACATTTTATTAGCTTCATGTTGAGTGTTTGCTGCATATTGTCCATCGTTCTTTGTGGTATCTCATAGTATTTCATAGATAATAGGTGGTTACAGGCGGATAATTCAATCCCTCAAAGTGTTCCTCGTTGCTGTTGATGCTTCCCATAATAACTGGCATAGCAACAATATTAACTACATTTCAAAGCAACTTTTCTACAACATTGTTGTTATCCTGGGACTGAGTTACTGTTTTAAATGTGCTATCAGCTATCTTTATTTTACATGAAATGTCTTCTTTATTTAATCTGTTTTGGTAGATATTAGACCTGAAGCTATGTGACTCGAACTATGGTACTACCAGAGATTATTCACTTTATCAAAGTAATATGAATCCCCACAGAATCCTCCTTTTCAAAAACTAGTTACGCTGAAAAATGTGAAGAGCAATAGTTATCACAATGTGGGATATTCAATCTTTTAGACTCCTATTGGATAACAGTAGATAAACCTCTCTCTCTCCCCCCCCCCAATGCCACCAGTGGATTTTAAAGATAATAAATAATAACAATCCTTGCATTTGACATAGTGCGTTTCACATCTTCTAGACATCTCAAAACACTTCATAGAATATACTGTTACGTGAATTGACTATTTGTGGGTGAAATGTGCTGCCAATTGCACCCAACAGTGTCCCACAAACAGTCATGGATTGAAGTGACCATATTTTTTTAAGTATTATTATCCCCGGAACTCCATCCATTTAAACTGATTTTTCTCTGATGCAAATGGACTCCAGGAGCAAAGTATCCCACAATGTGGTAACTTGTCATATTATCATTGTTTTGCATTCCCAGTATTTCCTTGTGGCAGCAAGGGAGTGTGTTCAGGTAGAGGAGCTCTGTTCGATCCACTTGGTTTGAAGTCTGGGTCAGTGTGCTGACTTTTAGATTCTGGCCAGAGCTGTAGACTGCAATCCCAATCTCTTGAGATGCTGTATGCTCTCTGTCTCTTGCCATTATGTAAATCTGTAAGCATTTCAAAGGGAGATTGATAAATCTCCAAATTAGTGCTTTGATCTTTAAGATTTGGCTCGAAGGTTTTTATACATTTCTAAAAGTGGGTCCAGTTCTTATTTCTGTCACCAACCCATTTTGCAGGATTAACCTGAGCAGAAATACTGGACGGTCCAATAGAGGGGAAATGATTTAAGATTATTACATGCAAGTTCTTTGCAAAGTTACTTTAAGAGCCCACCGGGCAGGAGCATTGTGCTTTCAGGTTTATAACCTGAGATTCTGTATCGTAACATTAAATTGGTGTGGTAGAATGTGTGAGATGACCAACCATCACTTTGTCAAGACTATACAACTTAATTGAATAAACTGCTTTGTGTGGTTGAATTGCCACTGTAAGATTCAACCACATGGTCCATTTACTGCTCTTGACCCAAAGCTGGTGTGTAGATGGGAATCCGTGTCCCATTTTGTTAACTTCCAAAGCTTCTCCCCCAGAGAAATCAAACTCTTTTTGGACTGGTGATAGTGGAATCCTTCAGCACATTCAGCAGCTGCTGTGGCTGGGGTTTTCTTATGTGGGGTTATTCGAGGTCATGAAACTCTTACGAACTCGTATCTTTGCCCTCCTCTACTCTATGGATGACCCTTCAGTATTCTCTGGTGCAATAACTGAGTACTCGTATCTGCCCATGGTATTGATCATTATTCCGTTCTCTCCTCTTACCCTGCACCCCCACCAAACCTCAGTGTTGTGGCTTTTACCGCTACACTATTTAACATCCACCATATATACCAGCCTCTTCAATCCCTGTATGTCATTTTCGAATGATTGTGCATTTCATGTCTAGCAGGAATACTTTCCAACGTCTAGTTTGCAGCAAAATGTAGGATTCCCCTACCACCATCAATGATATTTAGGTGATGAGAAATAATTATTTTGTAAATCGTGCTTTAGGATTGGTACAATTGCATTTTTTTACACTCTATGGAGTTTTGTTACCCAGCTTGTGGGGATTTTGACCTGTCTCCAATCATACTATTTGAAGAATTGCTCCAATGTTGATCTGAAGTTCTGTTACGCACTATAAAATTATTGAATTTTCATTAGGGAATAAACACTGAGTGATCATTGCTTTTCTCTTCCTTGTTTGTTTCTCCCAAGTCTCAAATACATCAATATTATTATCTCCAAACTATTCCCCACACCCTATGTCTTCCTCAAGACCATGAAGCTTTTTGCTCTGTGCAGACTTCCCTTCTAACTATGGGCTTAAAATGCCAACTTGGTAACATTGCTGCTGTGCAGAGCGTGAGGATGATTGTAATGTTAGAGGGATGTGATTATAACAAATGACTAGAATAAACTAGGGCTTTTCAGCATTAGAAATGTCTCAGTTTGGGTACCTTTATAAGATTCTAAATAACATTAAAAAGAATAATCCTTGCATTTTAATATAGTACTTTTTACATCTCAAATTGCTTCACACGATATACTGTAAAATAGTGACTCTTTTGTAGGTCAACAGAGCAGCCATTTTGTGCACACCAATGTCCCACAAATAGCCATGGAGTGAATATGGAGAAAGTGCAGAAGAATTCGTCCAAATCTGACAAGGCAGCAGAACATGAGATAAGACACTATATCAAATGCAAGGATTATTATGACACAGGTTCAGGGTTGTATAGGACAATTTGAGGCCAGACATGAGGAGGTATTTCTCTCACGGTAACGAATGACTGGACTTTATTCTGAGTGAAAACTTTTCATATTTGGTGTAGAAGCACTGCTTCAGTCCTGCAATGTCTCCCTTGCTTTCTTCAAGACCCACCTCTTCAACTGTGCCTTCGCCTACCCTCCGCCCTCCCTGATCCCACTCACTACCCCACTCCAGTCCTAATCCCTGATTATTCAGGCCTTGGGACATCCTCCTGATGTGAAAGGTGCTTTACAAATGTAATTTTGTATTGTATTAATAATCCTTGCATTTGATATAGCACCTTTCATGTTGACAGGACAATTTCATGCACTTCACAGGATTTACTGTAAAGTGTAGTGACTATTTTGTAGACAAATAGATCTTTGGACTCTGACAGTACAACTGGATCACACACGCATGCAAAGTTTACACAAAAAAGATTTGATCACATTTTTAATTAAGCATTTACATCAACTACAGACCATAAACTGATCAAAAACAGCAAACCGAACTCCAGGTAAAGAGAGACGTAAACACACAGCAGCAGGAATTGAAAGTCAAATTCAAAGCATTGTGAACGGAGTACAGAAAATATTTGGCCTCTGAATTTTGGCAATATTTACATCATGTACATTGATGTCTTTGTTGACAGTATCTTATATTTCTAAGGCACTGAAAGCTAAGGTACTGAATTACAATTACATCCATTAGCATACGACAGCTTGCCCACGTTTTGTCTTCTGAACGTCTTACACCGAATGTTGAAATGAATGCACCAAAGATGCATGAAAATGAGCAAAGTTAAATTCGAAAGCAGCAAGTTGCTTTGAAATGACGCTGGAAATCTCTGATGTGTGCATTTGTGTTCGGTTCAAACGCTATATGCTCCGCATTTAACTTTAGCACAGGGTGTTTGCAGTTAAACGGCCAACACCTAGTAGAGACACTTTTTTAAAAAAAGTTCTTGAATTATGGAAAAACTTCAACTGTATGACTGCGACCTGAAATTCCACCCAATCTTAGCCTGTATTTTGCCCTTAATAATGCAGAATTATCTGAAATTCTCACACCACTCAAAGTCTTAATTTGGAAGGCAATTTCTTTTAAGAATTGTGGAAAAACAGCTAAATTAAGGCTGAACTTTAGAATTTGCCATGATTCTGTTTGCCTGTAAATATTAGTCAAAATAATCTTACAGGCCAACAGTAGGTAGGATTTTGGAACTCCTGGCATCCATTAATCCCTAAAGACATCTTTTAAAGGCATTAAGAAGGCAAAGATGAAATTACTCATGACTCAGAATTAAATTAAAACAACTGAAGATTCCTTTTGTGAAACAGAAAATAACTTCATGTATGAAGTGAGGGAACTGTAAATGATCCCTGATTTGCAGCATTTAAACAGACAGGCAAGGTATGAATCATCTCCTTATGGAATATAACTGCATCTCACCACAAATGGCCATCTTTTATCCCATCAATCGCAAGGCAGCCTCCAATTTGGGGCTCTAAAAAGAAAGTTCACATGTCTCCAGTCTCCACACTCCTTGGAGTAAAATAATGAAAAGGCAGGGGCAAAATTGTTTATTTTGAAAAGTTCACGTGCAGAAGGATAACTCCACAAATTGCATGTGTTTTATTCCACTTTTGGTGTGAATTTAAATGATTATAGGGGAGAAATTCGACTTTGGGTCTAGATTGATGCTAAGGAGCATTTCAGAATGTCCAAAATTTGGCAAAATCTAAAATAGTCTTAACTTTGGAGCTGGTTTTCTGTAAATTGGCTTCAAAGATCAAGGCTGCTTTCAGCAATTTGCCAAATTTTTATGCTCCAAAATGCTTAGAAATACTGAGACTGAGTAAGTCTAGATGCTGGAAGGATTGCTACGCGTTTGTGGGGCGGGGAGAGGGGAAGAAGTACAATGTACTGCGCCAGTGTTAGGTCACCTTATCCCCCCCACCTCCCCCTTCCCCTGATTATGTGACATTGTAGGTTTGGTGGAAAACTCAAGATGGATGCAAACAAAATTGCAAATGAAGTAAAATGAAGTATTAAAGAACAAATAATTTTTTTCTGTTTTTACTTTCCAAATGGGACATGAACATTATAATATCAAGGTACACTGACCCTTTTTTTCTGAAAACATTACCCTAATTGAACAAAATCGCTCTCATTCACAAATTAACTGTTTTTCGATTTTTTAATCGAGTTTCCAAGTGCGTATCCAACTGATTTGGGAATTATGCCATTTAAGTGCAAAATATTGTTTCATGAAATAGACATTAGCTGCCCACCCCACAGCTTGGGTCCCGAGCCAGCATGTTAAGTGCTTGAGACATCCTTTCATTGTGAAAGGCATCATATACATGTTTATTGGGCGTTTTGCTCACAAAATATACAGTCAATTCACTTTACAGTATATTCTGTGAAGTGCTTTGAGATGTCTCGAAGATGTGATAAGGCGCTATATCAAATGCAAGGATTATTATTAAATGACTAAAATGTTACTTATTTTCTGATGTGTACCTTTGAAAGTAAATGCTATTAAGATGAGAATACTTAAAACTAATAGTCTTGTTTCCTTGGATCTTCAATGGATAAAGACCGTAGCAAAAGGTTCTTCTTCTCTCATACCATATCATAGCACTTTGTCTGCAGGAGTTCAAACTCCTTGCATTTTGATACAACACCTTTCATGTTAGAAGCACATCTCATAGCACTTCACAGTATATATGGGTGATTGTATTCTGTAGATGAACACAGCAGGCAGTTTGCACACAACGTTCCACAAACAGCCATGAAGTGCATGACCAATTTTATTTATTGGCAAGGACCACAGGAGAAACCGTTCGCCCCTGACCTGTCCCCAATCCATACCATATTATAGCACCTCCCCTGCAGGAGTTCAGACTTATGATGACAATTTAGGAATGGGCATTACTAAATACCAACATTTTACTAAAAACAAGTGTAAGCAGCTACACCATTATATATATGAGGTCACCAAAAAGTCATGATACCATTACAATGTCTAATAAGTCTTAAAGAAATTATGATTTTTTTTCTTTTTAGATAATAGGGTAGCTTCATGACTTTTTGGTCACCCTGTATAATAGTAAGAAAACATGCTACACCATTACATCAAAACTTGGTCAAACTCCTCCCTACAACAGCCCCGCTCTTCACGTTTCATCTTAGACTCTAACGTTTCAAGTGTAAATGCACGCTCACATCTTTGCGAGAGAACATCATGCAAACCAGGTGGGGAAAACAATTTGAGGAATATTGAATGTGCTTCGCAAATGGTCAGTTGGAATCCCATAAGGTGTTAAAGAGGCCAGTGGCAAAGGGGTGCTAATGACATTGTGGGGACTGTTTAAAGGGGAAATAGCTGCACAAAGGGCATCGATCACTAAGCAGGGGAGAAAACCTTTAGTCTGAAACTATTCTGTCAAAACGTTTTGTTACCTTTTTCAGATGTGCATCGAAAAAACTTGTCGGTCTGTAGCAACGTCTAACTGAGCAGAACATTTTAAATGAAATAAATTATCCTTGAATGTGTAAGAAAAATTGTGAAAAACATTAATGGCGAATTGCTGAATGAATTAACCCAGCTAAAACTCCAAATGTTGGTAAATAAGTCATATATACATAGAAAATGGTGAAACATAGCAAAATAAGTTGATATTGCAAGAGATGTGAAATCTTTTCTAAAAAATATACAATCTATAATCCTAGCTCAGGATTTATCAATGAACCTTATGCAATGCAATTTGAAATGATGCACTGAATGTTACAATAGTTAAATTAACTTAAAATACTGAGAGTGAGCTAAACTTATAATCCCACAATCCTGGGGAATTAGCATGTAGAGATCACCAAGAGTTAAATTAACAAATGATCATTGTAGATTAATATTGAAATAGTTTCACTTGAGGTATCTCCAAAATAATGCAGCATTTAGTAAAGCAGTTATTTGACCCTAATGTTTATTTTGCCACTGAGGTTCCATTTGCAGCAGAGAACAAGCATGAAAACATCAATGTTAACTGCTACGCTTCACCACTTAAGGAAACACCCCTTAAAGAAATTCCTTCTGGTCTCAGCCTTGAAACTATTGTCCTTAAAAGTTAACATTGCGCAGAATTTTGGAAAATTGTTAAATTCATCCCAAACTTGGCTGGTTTGCTGCAGTTTTCAAGAAAGCTGAGAACAGGTTTCAAAATTTTGGCTGAACTTAAATGTATGGACCAAGATCTTAAGGCTAAGACCACAAGAAAAGATGGGGATTGGCTGCAACTGTACTTTTTCTTGTCCTCTCTCCACCCATCCCTTAACATGAAGAAGAGTCAGTTGTGAATGATGCTCTGGTAGCCCAATAACTCCAACACAACGGAATTAGACTCAGATTCAGGACCTGGGTTGTAATCCTGATTGTTGTTTGAATTCAATCCAAGCTTTTCCCAGCAAACCAAGGGCAATTAACTTGGGTTCAGCCAGAATGGTAAGGAAAACTGCAGCACAAGACTACGCCGTCCTATAGGTGTGTTGGGAGGGGAAGATGATCTTGTAGAAGTCATACTCCTTTTGTCCATTCCAGCATGGCACTCATGCCTACTGTGAAGCAGCTGGCTTTGGAAGGCACAGTGGCAATAGTAGAAGTCTAACTAGTGAATGGAGTTGTTCCCTCCATTAGTTTTAAGATTCTGTCCTGAAATAGGAGTATTTAAATGGAAGAGTTGTTCTCAACCATTAAATCATCCCCTTTTCGGTGGAATTTATTAAGATAAATGTAGCAAATGATTACACATCCTCAAATAATAGGTTTTGGTGTCACAGGAGAATGACTTCTCTGTATCAGTCAGTATAAACGAAGCAAAACAGAAATCAGCACTCTCTGTAACAGGTTTGAACACTTTGATATTGTGTCTATGAAGTACGGTAATGGGCATCCAAACCAGTCCACAACTGGACCATTTGCAAATATTGTATGAACTGGAATGCACCCATTTATGTGTCCAGTTTTCTAAACAAACTGCTGGATATTGAATTTCCTTTGGATCTTAAGTGATATGTTTGTGCCAATGTCTCTAAAAGTGAAATTCTACACATTTATATAGAGATAAGGGTGAAGAAAATTCATATCAACAACTTTAGTCAACATCAATCTATACCTTGCAATCTTTTCTGGTAGAGCCAGAAACTCCTGTTTGGACGAGCACTTAACAAAAAGGGTATATAAGAATTGTTCGCTCCAGCGTAACCTACAAGAAATTTAAACAATGTAATGCATCATATCTGGGGAGCACGCTTGCTCTATTAGACTATGACATGGAGTGCGTGGGCCTAACGTGCTGCCTGTGATGCTTCACATTGGGAGTGTCAGACATCCACATCAACAGAGTAAAGTGCAGAGCGAAGACCAGGAAGGGACAAGCCACTGCACGTTACTCTCAGTGCCACCTAGTGAGAGGTGACAACATCGCATTGACAAAGACCCAGGAAGAGAGCACACTCATTCAATCATTCATTCACTCAGCTGGGTGGGGGGGATGAAATGTAGAGAATATTATATATTAATGTAACATATTGCTATGTCCACAATACATCTACTAAAATAAACGATTCATAAGAGGCAGTATTTATCTTATATCTGAGGATACTCACCACAACTAGGTGATAAGTAACTGATGTGAACAACTGGATAAGCTAGGCTATTTGGCCTTGAAAAGAGGCATCTCAGAGAGGCATTCTGCAGAAGTACATAAGATACTATGTTCATAAGATTGTGGAAGCAACATTTTCAGATGCATCAAAGCAGCAGGCTGCACTGAGGATAACTCTTTATGTTGCAATGGTGCTTTCAGGCGATGCTGGGAGTAAGTTTAAATCAGTGGAGAAAAATACCATGGGTTTGGTTTAAAGAATGAGCTACAGCAGAAATGGGCAACAAAAAAAATGTAGTTCAACAAATAACAAGAGTGCGATTGAAGAGCAGTAAATAGGCGTGCTATTCAGTGCTGATGCATCAAAGCTGGGGCAGTTGATTTCTCATCTCTCTACCATTATCAATTTAGTAAGAAAATAGACTTGCGTGCCTGTTAATGTCTATAATATTTGTTACAAGAAAAGTTTTACTCCCAAATTGTACCTTTCAAGCTAAAACTTGTTGCCAGTGATGATTATTTGCAAACTGAATAGCCAACCCCTCACAAGGTAAGGGACAAAAGTTTTTTTTTACTTTGAACAACTTTCACTTACAATCGCGAACTTCATTCTGTAAACTTATTTGATCCATACCTGATTATGTTTGTAAACCATCTGAAACTAAACTCAGGGTCACTGAATGAATGGAGTCAGCAAACAGGAAGTGAAGCTGGGCACATTTTGTGACAAATTCCAAAATTAGAACTCTAAACTCCAGGTTGACTCTGGACTGTTTTTGATAAAGAAAGTGGTGCAGCAAGTGTCCCAAAGTGTCTTTGTGCTTGTGTCTCGGTTACCTTCTTTGACTCGGAAATATTTTTAATGAAAAATACATAAACTGCAATGCTCTCTTCGTGTTACCATCCCTTTTCAGCACAGTTTGAACATGCGTACAGTAACATGGGCTGAATACATCTGTTCAGCTGCAGTTCCTCTGCAATTCAATATGTCCACACAATATTAAACATGAACCTGTTTTTTCTCTTCCACCCCCCCAAAGCGCTGAAATAAGAGTAGTCATTAAAATTATCATCATTCATACATGGTGGATTGCAAATGGAGTTGGATGATTCAAATTGACACTTCATGTTGCATACTTCATTACAATTGGTTCTTGCAAAATGAATTTGTTTGAAAACAGAAGCCAATTATTCCGTTGCGTGACGATGATGCCATCAAATCAATGTCACCTGGTCACATTCACATGCTTTAGTCAAAGATCATATAATATTAGATCAAAATAGTTTCTAAAAATCTCATGGGCGTTTTTTTATTTTTTTGTTCTTTTTTTTTAAATAATACCCATCCCCCCCAAAAAGCCAGCATTCAAATCTCAATGTAGAAATGTAATCAGTCGGGAGTTCATCAGTGAGAGAACTGAAAAGGTTTAAGAGCGAGTGCTCTCTTGATTGCATTTGTCCCACTGAGAAAACTACAAAAGAGTGTGCTGTCTGCAAGGAATATGCTTCATCAGCTGGATACAGTGGTAAAACAGTCCAACCGTACCATAACTTGTTCCTTTCCATTCGAAGAGTTAGCATTGAAGACCGATTCCTTATTTTCTTCGAGCAGAAATATGTCACTTTCTTCAAAAATGTTTTAAATCATTTCAATATATCAGAATTCCCATTTTCGTTGGTGCCGTCTCTGTGTGCTGGAATCCGGTTCCGTACTCCGCTAAAAACCAAGAACACTGTGACATTTTGCATACCTCACTTCGGCTTCTTACATACGCTACTGGCCCCGGTTTTACTACTCTGTTTTTAGGAGTGATGGCTCCTGTGTAGGACACAGCTTAAAAGAGAAAAATGTAAGTCTCGAACGTGAAAGTTGGCCTCGCCAGAGCCCATTAGATGGGGTTTGGTTCAAATTAAGCTGCACTCAAAGCACCTCAGGCAGCTATTTCATTTAAAAATAATTTTTTTACCATTGTAGATTATGATTTTAAAATTTATTAAGACACACGTAAGACCATGGTTTGGCTGGCACAGCCAGGATACTATGGCACACACTGACTTTAAAAGCACAGACTTCTGTTCCCAAAGGGACACTATATTAGCAATTCCAAAACATTTTAAATAACTGCGTAAAAAAAACTTTCATAAACAGTGGGAGGAAATGACTCATTAAGTCACTTCGTGCTTGTGGTACATCATTCCTCTTCAGTGTTCCTACACGTCAGATCAGTGGATACGTAGCGTTGTAAACTGCATTTTCAAGTCAATTGCCACAGCTTTTACATTGCTCTGCGCTTTGCCAAGACTCTCGGGTTCACCAAAATTAGCACCAGAGCATAACTCGGCCACTACTCTGCCGATCCTGCTCTCAATTTTCCATCAGTGCCTATGCTGAATAAAACCGGGGCCACCCATCTTTTCCAGGAGATCTTACTGTAACAAAGTCTTATTGAATGTTGCGACAACACCGCCACGTTGAGACGTGTCAATTACTAAAATGGTTCAGACAAGAGATCTGGAAAATGAAAGTAGTGCCTTATTCAAAACCTTATGTTGTGTGCAATTGAAATTAGGTTGTTGTTACATTTTGTTCAAAACTGCACTGCAGCTTCAAAGCCAGAAAAGGTGTTCTGATCCAGTCAGTGGTGGCATGTGATTCTTTCAACCTGTTGCTGTCTGATTTCCAATGACCCGCAGGATTTCTTTATGAATGCTGGATTCCTGTGTGTTTATATTGGTGTCGCCCACTTGGCCGTCTTCATATCTGAAATGAACCATACAATGGGGGCTCTTAACAACCATGGAGGTATCATCATTTAATGTGTATGTGTGTGACGGGCGTGTGTATGTGGGTGTGAGGGTGTGTGTGTTAGCGTCAAATGAAATTGGACCTGAAAAAATCTACACCAATAAATAATTTAGGCCATTTGGATTTAGAATGGCTTGGAAAAGCAAAGGGCTTTAATTTACACTTATAACAGTGATCAGGAACTGCAGCCAGAACTGCACCATAGGCTTATGTCAGAAAAATTCCCTTACAAGCTAACAGACACCAAGCACTGTTTCATCCGACCATCTGGGCTTGATTTTAAGACAGGTACGAGAAGCTAAAGCAGAGAGTGCAAACTTTCTCTGTCAACACCACCAACGATTTGCATTCACATATAATAATAATAATAATCCTTGCATTTGATATAGCGCTTTTCATGTCGGGAGGACGTCCCAAAGCGCTTCACAGAATATACTGTAAAGTGAATTGACTGTATATTTGTGGGCGAACGCGGCAGCCAATTGCGCACAGCAATGTCCCACAAACAGTCGTAGATTGAAAATGACCAATTTATTATTGTTTTTTTGGGTTTTTTGGAGGGATTATTATTAGGCGTGTGGAGTAAGGAAACTTGCCCAAGGTTTCGCCCTGACCTGCCTGGAATTGAACTCAGGTCTCTCGCTTGCAAAGCGAGTGCTCTAACCACTGAGCTACAGGACTCCACTTGGAGGGATTATTATTAGGCGTGTGGAGTAAGGAAACTTGCCCAAGGTTTCGCCCTGACCTGCCTGGAATTGAACTCAGGTCTCTCGCTTGCAAAGCGAGTGTTCTAACCACTGAGCTACAGGACTCCACATAGTGCCCTGCAGGTAGGACAATCTCCCGCAGCGCTTCACATGGTGGAGTTTAATGCCGAGATAGGAGGAAGGAGCATGGACAGGTGACTTTAGGTGTAGTTGAAGAGGTAGACTTTCAGATGGGATTTGAAGATAGATAGAGAGGGGGAGAGGCAGAGAGATCCAGGGGTTGGATGCATAATCATTCAGTACATAAGATTCTTTTACTTTACCTCCAAAACTTAATGTGAAATCTAGATATTTACTTACACAAAGAAGAACCTTGTGCAGACGTGTTCTGTTTGTGGAACTACCCAAATTTCTCCATGTTTGTGCAAATCTGGTGAAGTAATTGCTGCAAAAAAAAAGAATCTTTCTTAGTCTTTAGGTTCTCTTCATTTTAAATATAAATTTTCTTCACTTTTCTCATTGTTTTCTTCCCTTTTCCCCCTCCTTTCCTGAGTGCAGTTTATGTGGTGCTCTCTGGCCGTGGGAATTATTTGATACAGTACAATTTACATTTATATAGGGCCTTTCGAAGCATATGTGGCTGGAGCCAGGGTGGGGAGGGAGCTGAAGAAGGTGGGGAGGGTAGAATGACCAAAAGTGGGGTGAGAAATAAATCTCAAGGAGGACTGTGAATGTGGAGAGGAAGGGGCAAGTCAAAGTGACTTCAGTATGGAAGTCTAGAGAGCAGGGGGCAGAAAGTTCACTTGCCAATGGTAGGGTGGGTAGGGCAGGGGACATGAAGCAGGTTTGAGGTTTGGTAGGGTTTGGGGAGGTTACCGAGGTCGGATGGGGCAAGACCGTGGAGGGATTTGAAGGTGAGAGTGAGGATTTTGAACCTAATGGACATTCAGTGTATTGTAGCAGGTTTTGTGTAAAGCTAGGAATGTCGTACCTTCACATAAGGCTATACACTTCAGGTTACGACTCTGCAAAAACTGGGGCTGCTGTCCTTTTTTCTGTGACTGGACAAAAAAGGAGACAGATTAGTTTGATTCACAGAATGTTACCCATAGACTTACAAAGAACATTATAGGATGGAAACAGGTCATTCGGCCCAACTTGTCCAACCCGTGCTAGTGTTTATACTCCACACTTTCACCTCTCCTAATTCCCTTTCTGATATTCCTCTCATTCATCTCCTGGAACAAGTGAGTGAGTCTTACCTGCAAAGTGGCTGCTTTATTGTTTGAAGGTTGTTCATCCTTGGACGCTACCTTCTGCTGCTTTTTATTCATCCCTAAGTGGAACAAAAGGCAAAAGCATTTCAGACACAGCAAAGCAGGTATCACCACTCAAGCAGTCTTCAAACCAATGAAGCCATTCTGGTTTCCAATACAATTATATGTTTACGAATTCTAGGCTTTCAGAAAATGTGGACTCCATTACGTCAGCCACAACTGCTTATAAACTGTAACTACGATACAATATAGCACCGTTCACATCAGGAGGACGTCTTAAAGCATTTAACATTGTTGTCTGGGCACCTGTGCTCAGGGTGGAAAGGGGCAAGTTGATCAGAAGTGCAGTCGAAGAGTTTTATTTTGAGTCGAGCACTGTAGCTCTTTTGGGCTGAAGTGTCTTCTAGCCCAACACAGCAGTGCGTGCAAAGTGCCATCATGCAGCAACTACAAGAACAACAGTTTGCACTTATACAAGCACTTTTCACATAGCAGAACATCTCAAAGTACTCGACAGAGACAGCCTGGGAGATAGGCGTGGGTGGGAGGGGAATGAGATAGGTGCAAAGTGGCAAAAGGTGCAGTCAAAGGAACAGGTTTTTAAGATGGATTTTGAAAGCAGAGAATTTCATTCAACAAATTCAGCTCACGAGTTCATAAATTGAACCCCAGCATCCATAAGTCACTGAGATCATGGCTGGATCTAGAGAGATTAAGGGATATGGGGATAAGGCAGGCAGATGGAGTTAGGTTAGAAGATCAGTCATGATCTCATTGAATTGTGGGGCAGGCTCGAGGGGCCGAATGGCCTACTCCTGGTCCTAATTCCTATGTTCCTATCATGAAGCAGTTCAATACAGTGCACGAGAAGAAAGCTGGGAGGCTCCACCATTGTAAAAGATCCCTATCTTAACCTAAAGCTCCCACTGACCAGTCAAACAGAAGGTGCTTCTCTTCACAATGGGGTCATACCTAGAACCATAGAAATTGACTACACATCATGTCTCTTTAAAGAACAATTCTTTCAGTCCCATTTACCTACCGTTTTACCCATACCCATGTAGTTTGCTCCTTTTTAGATAACTATCTAGTGAAGAACAGCCAGTCTGGTGAGATATTGGCAGATGGCTGTAGCTCAATGTACTATGAGCCAGCAGGAGAAGGCGCATTTAAGTAAGAAGGGCAGAAAAGTGGAAGGAAATAAAAAAGGTAGGAGCCAGTACATAAACCATAACATTCAGTGCTCAAAAGTGTTTTTGGGAGGGGGGTGAGGGGGGGGCCTGAAAAGGCCCAAAAGGAGTAAATTGCAGGTTTGGGATTTACTCTAATGATGTATTTAATGATACTAATGATAATTTCACTCTCAAAATACAGTCAATTCACTTTACTCTATATCCTGTGAATCACTTTGAGACATCTCAATGACATGATAAGGTGAAACATCTAAAAGTACAACAGTTTGCACTTTTCACTTAGAAGAACATTTCAAAGTACTTTACAGAAACAGAGATGGTGGTGGAGGGGTGGGGGCGTGGGGTGAGATAGGTGCGAGGTGGCCAAAGGTACAGTCAAAGAGACAGGTTTTTAGATGGATTTTGAAAGCAGAGAAGTTCATTGAACTGATTCAGCAACAACAACAAAATGACATTTGTATAGTGCCTTTCACATCGGGAGGACGTCCCAAGGCGCTGGACAGTCAGAGTTTCGGACCCAAGCTGGGGGGTCGGGATTGGGAAGGTTAGAGGGCAGGGGGTAAGCCGGGTGATCGAAAGCATGGTCGAAGAGGAGGGTCTTGAGATGGGTCTTGAAGGACGCAAGGGAGGGGGCGAGGCGGAGGGCTTGCGGGATGGAGTTCCAGAGGATGAGGGAGCAGAGTGGCAAAAGATTCAGCTAACAAGTTCACAAATCAAATGCAAGGAATATTATGTGAGTAAGAATGGACTGTCACATTCAACCTCAATGATACTTGCCTGAGTAACCAAAAGAAATACTTGACAATGGGCTAAGGTAGATGCCATTTCCATACACTGCACCATGGAGCTGTGGAAATCAGGGAAACAAACAGTTATAAAATAGATGAACAAGAAAAATAATTCTTCAGATTATTGGATGGTACTTTGAATTATACATTCAAACAGATATATAACAAAATAAAATGACCTTTTAAGGCTAGAACAACAAGCTATTATTAATATTAATAACAACCTGCCTATATATAATGCCCTTCATGTAGGATAATGTCTCAGAGTGAATTACAGCGGAAGTTTCTTTTTGGTTAGCCGGGTGTCTGACACCTACAGAAATCACCACTCTAACCAAACCAATCTGCGAATTCCACGCATCAAACCTACACATAGAAATTCCAGAGGTAGATTGTTGGAATAGAATACACATTCTCTCCTTGAGGGACAGATCCTGCTTACCTAATTCTGGAAAGTATTAGGCGCAGGTTGGCAGGAGCCTTGGCTTGGGGTCTTCAGAGTTGGGCATGTTGGGGTCGCTGGAGTCTAACCAGCTAAAACCACACAGCTTGCCATTGATAGCACTGTCTGGCAAGCAATCCCACCGCTTGCCCAGCTAGGATCACCCTACCCCTCAGAGCTTTGGCTTGCAGGGTTAAAAGGAGGTCAGTGAGAGGATATCCTGCCCATATTGACTGGTTTCCCCTTCTAAGTCCTGATAATAATAATAATAATAATAATAATCCTTGCATTTGATTTTGCGCTTTTCACGTCGGGAGGACGTCCCAAAGCGCTTCACAGAACACACTGTAAAGTGAATTGACTGTATATTTGTGGGCGAACGCGGCAGCCAATTGCGCACAGCAATGTCCCACAAACAGTCATGGATTGAAAATGACCAATTTATTATTGTTTTTTTTTGGAGGGATTATTATTAGGCGTGTGGAGTAAGGAAACTTGCCCAAGGTTTCGCCCTGCCTGGAATTGAACTCAGGTCTCTCACTTGCAAAGCGAGTGCTCTAACCATTGAGCTACAGGACAGGATGATGAGCAAGGTGGCTGTACTGCCATCAGCAGTGTCCTGGAATACTGTAGATCTGCCTGGCACAGGAACCGGGAGAGGAGTAACACATGAACTCACCTGTTCATTATAAAGTAGTCAAGGATACTTTATGAGATGCTGAGCACAAATGAATGAAATAAGTGAAAGACTAAAACTTGAGGCCCTTTGAGGGCTCCTGAATAACAAGTACGACCACTACAACATCACCTCTAAAGAAGGAAGGTGGTGCAAAGGTGTAGGTGTCATGTACCAATACATGATTGAGAACAGTATCTAATTTGTAAAGAACTAACTGAGCACTTTGCTCATACAGGTTTCAGAGCACGGTGTGTCCTTACCTGTAATCTTGTGTTTGATGCAACAATTAAACCGTTCCTTAAAATTGAGTGCCAGTTCTCTATGTGTGAGCCACTGTGGACAGAGCACAAACACAGTCAGTATCTAACAAGCTTCTGCTTCAGAACTGTTTTAGTTTGGCCGTGTTGTAACACGTCCCGTTGAGAGCGCATCCTTTAAAATACATGTGTCTTGAGGGCACGCAGTTACCCAAAACCTGCTACAGTTCCAGCCAGTCAGCCACGACCTGTTTCACGAGTGGTAGAAATACTTGCAAGAGCAATCGCGACTGATCTGTCAGCTTTCTGCGCGCTACACTTATGCATAGGAAGCCAGCGAGTCTGTGCTGGAAGCTATGTTAGCAGCAACCTAATATACAGTATTTAGTAAATAGGTCAATATCATGAGTCCAAATATATATATAGATATGCATATATGGACAAATTGTAGAAAAGGCCGGAGAGCAGAGCTTTTATCCAGGCCTACGGGAGAAGCCGTCTTACGTCTTCAAAGATAAAAGCAGAAACTCACTGAAATGCAAAGGTGCTCCCGTAAAGTTTCTTTGCTGCCCTGAAATTGGATTCTTTGGCCGGTGGACTGCTGAGGAGCAGGAACTGATGCGGGGTGTGCATGAACTTCAGTTGCTGTGTGAAAGAGGAACGTGAGAACGTTACAATACAGCCACTAAACTCACTACAGCACCAAGCAATTGGCACAGCTGATCATTCTGCACTGGCCACTCCTGCCTCCCTCCGTGTGTTAAAATCTATGTTTAGAATAATCCCTGCGTTTGATATATCGTCTTATCACGTCATTGAGATGTCTCAAAGCTCTTCACAGGATTTTACTGTAAAGTGCAGTGACTGTGTATTCTGTAAGTGCTATACAAATGTAATTTGTTGTTGATTGTTTTTGTAGGCAAATGTGGTAGCCAAAGTCCCACAAACAGCCATGAAGTTAATGACCAAGTTATTATGGAGGAGTGGTGGCCAGGACACCGGGAAAAACACCCTTCTCTTTTCGAATAGTTGGGATCTTGGGATCATTGTATAATTTCTCCCAAAACACACTTCTGTGGTGTTTTAGGAAGGATGACACAGGGGTGGGAGGAAATCTTAGTAGGAACCCACTGCTCAAGTATATCACAATGTCACTAACACTGCATTTGTCATGCAGTGTAACAAGCTTGTAGCTTTTTTGTAGGACTTCTTTGTTGCTTATGAACCCGGCTAATAGATTATTTGATATCTTATTCGGTGTTTTGATCGCAACTGGGTGGTTGAAAGTGCAGTACAGTACAATGCATCCTAAATTATAACACTAATAAGAGAGGGGTTTTGGGGTCAGCCGGATGTCTGACACACAGAAACCCATCACCATGTTGAAGAATATCCAAACCAAACTCCTGAGATATTTCTATCTGTCTGCTATGGACACTCTCTCCTTGGAGGGATACACCTTGCATTACCTAATCCTGGAAAGTAACATGAACAGGTTGGCAAGAGCCAAGGCCATAAACCCCAGGATACTGCCGGAGTTTAACCAGCTAAAACCCAGAAGCTTGCCATTGAGAGCACTGTTTGATCTCAGGTGGTCTACTTGGAACGAAAGGGGGGGGCGGTGCGCGGAATATAGTTGAACGTATCAGAGTTGGAGTCATTGCGGTATTTAAGAATATCGCATAAATTGTAGCTCACACAAAATATTTAATTTAAGAAACACTTAAATTCACTTTTACATGGAAGCAAATTGTCTGCATAGCACTGAGCGAGACTCACCCTATTTACAGGTAACTTTACAATGTGGGACCTGTTACTGGAAATAATCCTAGTGGGAAAGAGACATATTAGTGTTACTCTGTATCCTTGGAAACAAATTTCTGAAATTCCACTTTGAATATTCAGAAACAGATTAACAAGTCTAAAAGATTTACTGGTTGTCACTGGTGAATGAGACACAGGCAAAGTGTGGCTGAACATAATGGGTTTTTAATGAAATCTGACCAAATAAAATCAGAAATGCTGCATGGTTGGAGAGATCAGCTCTGGCTGTCATAGAGGAAACAACACATAAAAAACACAAGCAAATCTTCCAAATAGAAAGGAAAAGACACACTAAACTAGATACATTGATGATATCCTGTTAGAAACCATCTACTCCCATCCTTCCAGAACATCCACCTTACTATCTCCCCGTCTCAGCATCAAGCTGTGTTTTTAAATGAGTCCAGTATCTTAACCTCAACCACCCATCCTGGCAATACGTTCCAGGGATTAATTACCCTCTGGGAAAGAAATACTTCCTGGAATCCCTGATCCAAGCTTTCATTATGTCCTGGCTTGACTGCGCCAACTGCCTGTTCACTGGACTTCCCAAATCTTCCCTCCACAAACTGCAGATTGTTCAGAACTCTGCAGCTTGTGTCCTCTCCCGCACCATGCTCCGGGAACCTATCACACCCGTTCTTGCCCGGCTTCACTGGCTCCCCATTCCTCAGAGAATCGAGTACAAAACCTTTGTTCTTACCTTCAAAGTCCTCTACGGTCTTGCTCCCCTCTGACCTCATAACCCCATATCAGCCTGTCCACCCACTCTGCTCGGCAGCCTGGTTCAGGTCCCCTACACTTCCCACCCCACTGTTGGTAGTCAGGCATTCAGCATCTCTGCCCCCATACTCTGGAACTCTATCCTGCAATCCCTCCATCTCACCCCCTCTCTTGCCTCCTTCAAGTCCCATCTGAAGACCTTCCTCTGACCGTGCCTTCGGCCACCCTCCTACCCTCAACCCCCTCCCCTCCTCCCCTTCTGACACCAACGCCAAGCTTGGGTCCAAAACCCCTGATTATCCAGCACGCTGAGACATCTTTCCGACGTTAAGGGTGCTATTCAAGTGCAATTTGTTGCTGTTGTAATCTGTCCTGAAATTGCCATTTGAAACTCTAAAGTAACGCTATAAAACTACGTGAAGACAGACATTAGGAAAAATTGGCAATGAAGATCAAAGCTAGGAGCTCCAAACAGATAACAGCATTCACACTTGCATCATGTAAAACAAGAATTGGTTAGATGAGTATTCAGTACTGTTGAGGTCAATGAATGAATGTGATAAGGATAGACTTAAGTAGAGGGCCCATTATGAAAGTGCGGGTTATGATAATGTGAACGGCATGCTTTGGATGAGAAAGGAATGAGAGAGACAGAGCACAGGAACTTGCTTATTCCATCTTACAAGTTGTGAATGGTGTTGAATATTTCAATAGAAATACCATTGTAACAAAGGATGTGCCAGAGGATCTTGCTTATCCATCTGCTTCTTGATTTCCAAGTATGGTGCCTGTCAAAACAAACAGCAAAACGTCTTTCCCACTTCACTGGAAGTAATAAATTAAAATTGAGAGCACAATGTTACAAGAGCCCTCTGTCACAAGCGTGCCACATTATACGGGGCTACTGAGGATATATCATAACCGGCTATAAATTAGAACTGTACTACTGAGTAATGGTTAGATTGCTGGATGAAAATCAAACACATGTGGTGCAGAGAGCTGTGATATTCTGTTTCACATGGAAGGTGAAAAGTGCAATGAGCTACAGGAAAGGAATAATGTGAATAATGTGATGTGATTCATCAAATCTATTATGAAGCATCGCATTTTTCACCCCTTTATTTCTAAAATTGTTTGGTTGTATTTTATGCATATGCAGTAAAGCCCCATTATAAAGCAAAGTTTGGGATCCATCATATCCCCACCCACACACAGTATATATCCCCACCCACACACAGTACACAGTGTTTGACTGCACACACAACAGCTTGTTCGCTCCTAACACACTGTCCGATTCAGCGCTAAAGGAAGAAATGTGTGTCTTCTGTGTCAGTGAGTCACTGACAGCCTACAAATGTTTCTTCTACGAACACATAGTCACTCCCTTCACAGTAGAAATCCTGTAAAGTACTTTGGAATGTTCTCTCAATGTGAAAGGCGCTATAAAAACTGCAACAGTTATTATTCATAATAACTGGCTGACTTCCCAGTCATTAGGCCATCACCGTCATCATTTCCTACTTTACACAATGGATTTAAAGATCCATCAAAATGTAATAAACTCGTAGAATAGTCTCCAAGGGCTAAATGGCCTCCTTCTGTACCTGGTTTCCTATAGTTCCTTGGCTCTTGTCAATCTGTCCTTAACACTTTCTGGAATTAGGTAAGTAGGGTGTGCCCCTCAGGTGCGCACCTTGGAAGGATGTGCAAACTTCATTTCATGCAAAGGGAAATTTCCATATGTAGGTGGAACTCTCGGTCTGATTTGGATACCTTAAGCGTGGTGATAGCCTTTCGTATGTGTTGACTGACCAAAAAATGTATAATAATCCCTGCATTGGATATAGAACCTTGTCACACTGTCGAGAGGTCTCAAAGCGCTTCACAGGATTTCTGTCAAGTGCAGTGACTGTGTTTGTGGACTAACGCAGATATCAATTTGCACACAGCAATAATAATAATCACCCTTGCATTTAATATAGCGTCGTATTATATCTTCGAGACATCTAAAAGCACTTCAAAGAATATACTGTAATGTGGACTGACTGTTTATTTTATCAGCGAAACACAGCAAAGAGTCCCACAAACAGTCATGGATTGAGTGACCAAATTATTATTATTATTAGGTAAACAAAGACGTGTGGAGTAAGGAAACTTGTCGAACATTTCGCTCTGCCCGGGAATTGAACCCAGGTCCTCTCGCTTGCGAGGCGAGTGCTCTAAACAATATGATACAGGACTCCACAAACAGCAATGAAGTGAATGACCAATTTTATCTAGGGTGTTTGTTGGCCAGCATACCAGGAGAAAACTCCCTTTTCTTTTCAAATAGTGGCATGGGATCTTTAGCGTCCACCTGAACAGGCGGACGGGTTCTTGGTTTAATGTCTCATCCAAAGGATGGCACCTCCAATACTGCAGCACAACCCCAGCAATCCATTGAAGTGTCAACCTAGAATGTGATTTTGGAGTCCGGACATATAATCATTGATAAGCACAACTGCACAAAACATACTCAAAAAGAAGAAATAACTTAAAACATACAAAATAGTAATATGTTTAAGAGTTGTGATAGATGTAGTTTGTAGCGCGTAGCATGTACCAGAAACCATCCAATGCAGTGATTCTTTGTAAGAGTTGGAAATTACACTGTATGATCCAGAGAGTGAATTTCTTAATGTGGATTGGAGCATTGTTCTACTGCAATCATTTAATCTTGCAAGTTTTTCCCGGAGAGCTTATGAACAATTGCAATCCAATTTTAATGTATGAAATAAGGTTATGTTTATAATGTAACATTATTTTTAAGTTGGAATTGCATGACATTATTTCTGCAAAACTCACCGAACGGAGATGAATAGTGCCTTGGGCACATTAACAAACATGGAGCAGAACAATCAATAGTTGGGGAGTTAAAAATAAGTATTGCACTTCATATGTTATAATAATATTCCTTCATTTTATAAGTGAATGACCAATACATTTTGCATAGCATCCAGAATTTGGCAAATTCTTAACACAGTCTGAATTTTGAAGACGTTTTTCTGTACGTTTCTTTAAGAACGATGGAAAAACAGCTTCAAAGTTAAGACAGAATTCAGAACTAAAGTTCTGAGCTCCCTAAATTGCTACATAAATAGAGTAAATCTAAATCTAGGTGGAATTTCGCTCCAAAGTATGTCTTACCTGGGTCATTTCCCTGATGGATGTGATGCTATCCAGTGCTTTAACTAAACGTTCATAGTCTTTTTTCTAGGTAAAAAAAACAAGAAAATAGCAGTTTAGCAAGGAGGTTACATTAGATACTGTGTAAACAGAAACAAAATGCAATGCCAGCTTTCCAATGGGTATGAAACATTCAGTGAAATGACATATGGATGTCACCAAACTTGAACCTACTGCATAAAATTGCCTCTAATCTACTTTCTTGCTATATGTGGTTTCAGAATAAATCCACTTAGGAATCAATTAGAACTTATATCTGTATACATTAAAAGGTTAGCATTTGAAACAAATTAATATCCCTCTGATGCCACCTACCACGTTCCTTCCTTTCTCAAAAGGCATAAGAACAACTGAGACTTTTGAGAAAGGCATAAAGTTCATTATGCCTTTCGGATAAAGGATATCAGAGTATCCATGCCAAGAAAGTCTTGGAATTAACAATGGAATAGTAGTTCCCACGACAGCCCAGTTCACATAATATTAAAGATAGAGTTAAAATGGGATACGTGAAAACATTTCTTCAGACAGAGGGTTGTGAGAAAGTGAACTGCACTGCCCCAGAATACCGCAGAGTCAATTGGGATGTTTTGAAGGGAATTAGACAGATACAACAACAACAATTTGCATTTATATAGCGCCCTTCATGCTGGGTAGCGTCCCAGAGCGCCTGACAGCCGGGGTGGGGGGAGGTGACTGTAAGTATAGTCAAAAAGGAAGGTCTTTAGGTGGGCTTTGAAAGTGGGGAGGGAGAAGGCAAGGTGGAGAGATTGAGGAAGAGAGTTCCAGAGTTTCGGGGCCTTGGGACTTCCTCCCGAAGTGAAAGGTGCTATACAACTGTAATTTTGCTGTTTTTGTAGTGGCTGAAGGCATGATTGCCGATGGTGGAGCAGAGGGGGCGAGGGACGGACAAGAGGCTGGAGCCAGCCGAGTGGAGGCAGCAGGTGGTAGAGTGGGGGCGGGGGGGGGGCTAGCAAATCGGATAGGTAGGGAGGGAGGTGCGAGGGCATGAAGGGATTTCAAAATGAGTGAGAGGATCTTGAAGTCGATCTGTTTGGTATGTGGGAGCCAGTGCAGCCTGGCAAGGACTGGTGTGATGGGTTCCGGAGTTTTGTGCGGGTGAGTATCCAGGCAATGGAGTTCTGAATTAATTGAATTTTGTGTATGGTAGAGCTGGGGAGATCAGCAAGCTTGTGAAGTAAGGGTATTAAAGGGTATATAGAGAAAAGGCGAACATTAGATGATCTGCCACAACCCAATAAACTGGCAGAGCTGGCATCATAGCCTGAATGGTCTCCTCCTGTTCTTATGTTCCAAATGGCACTTGAGCACTGAACCACACAGAGCAAAAGGCTTCTCTTTGTTAGTCAGCTGATTTCAGTCATGGCAACTCGGGCTGATTTTTCCCTTAATTACATCAGGTGATCGAAGCTGATTGTAGAGTCGCCACTGAGATCAACCAACTTAGAGCGGAGCTGGATGTGAATTTGTGATCTTTGTATGGCATAGTACTGGAATAGGAGATTCCCACAAGCCCATTTCAGAGAGCACGGTGGATAGATCATAGATGATTTTTGTAACCATTTTACCTTGTAACACCAAGTGATAGTTCAGAGAGCTGGACATTATTTTACATGTTAATAACAATCCTAACCAACAACCCAAAAATATTACATTTATAGAGCGCCTTTCACGTCAGGAGGACGTCCCAAAGTGCTGAACAGTCTGGTGTCGGGACCCGAGCATGGGGGAGGGGTGGTGTAGGGGTGAGGGAAGGCAGAGAGGTGGGAGGGTGACCAAAGGCACGATCGAAGAGAAGGGTCTTGAGACCAGCCTTGAAGGAGGCAAGGGAGAAAGTGAAGCGAAGGGATCGTGCGATGGAGTCCCAGAGTGTGGGGGCAGAGAGGCTGAAAGCCCGGCCACCGATGGTAGGATGGGTTGGGTGGGAGACATGGAGCAGGCCGGAGCCCACTGAACGGAGGGAGCGGGCAGGTTGGTAGGAGTCAGCAGGTCAGAGAGGTAGGAGGGGGCAAGGCCATGGATGCCCTTAAAAGTGAGGACGAAGATCTTGAATTCGATCCTTTGGGGTTGGGGAGTCAGTGAAGTCGGGCGAGGATGGGAGTGATGGGGTCACGGGGTCTGGTGCGCAAGAGTACATGAGCTGCAGAGTTTTGGATGATCTGCAGCTTGTGAAGGGAAGAGTTGGGAAGGTCGATGAGGAGGGAGTTTCCATAATCGAGCCTTGATGTGACAAGTATTATTAAAATAATAATAATCCTAAAACAATAATCTTTGCATTTTTGGTATAGTGCTTTCACATGAAGAGGATCCCTCCAAGCATTTCATATGATTAACTGTAAAGTGTAGTGACTCTGTATTTTGTAGGCACATGTGGGAGCCAATTTGTGCACAGCAGTGTCCTACAAACAGGCTTGAAGTGAATGATTACTTTTATTTGGGGGATTGTTGGCTGGACACTGGAAGATACTCCTCCATCATGATACATGGCAAAATGGTTAATGGACATTAAAATAACTTACCCGCGGGTTAAATGCTAGGCTCCGAGGATCAAGGGGATCCACCACTGATGGATATGGCTCAAAAATGACAACCTTTCTGGGAGATTCCAGAGCCGATCTGCACATGGACACCAATAAATCCACAACCTGTAAGAGATGAACAGAATGCATTGAAACAACAACAACAAAGTTGAAAGTGCTGCAGATAGATGCCGGTTGCTCTCCCAGGAAGCAGGTGTCCTCTCATGGGATTCTATCGCTCTATCTGAAAAAGACAGAGGAGCTGTATTGTATGGTGGTGGTGCAGAAGGTAGGGGGAGGAAGGAGGTTGAACTTTAACTCTCCAGTCTTGGATTGTTTGACATTTGACTACTGTTTATCAGATATTCTTATTCCCTGGTGCAATAAGCTTAACCATGGTACCTGCAGTAGTCTACAAGATATGTGTATAAAGTGGAGGGTTATTTGACTATTAATCATACAGCACAGGATTTGTTAGTGCTCGGGATGCTCTGAGGTGTCTGGGTTCGTTTCTCTGTGAGAAATATCTTCAGGAGAGAAAAAGTACAATGAACTTTACATTCAAAATACATTAAAAAAAACCCATGAGACATTTATTTATAACAACAGATCATTCTGTCTGTCTCAGAGTCATTCAAGCCTAGAACCGAGCTTTAAAAGCAGTGTTGAAGCACAGTGGGATATTGGCAAATTTGCGATACTGGCAATCACCTTGAGGAGCGCTAATTGCAACTTATTTTTGGGAATAGAAAAGCCACCTAATTTGCAATATACACAACTTGGCCAACTGCAACTTTTAAAGCTGTTGAAGTGTAAAAATTAGACTGACTCGTACTGTTTTCCCTGTTTTTAGGGATCTGAATTGGCCAATTTGTGAATATTACCAACCTAGAAAGTTTTCAGTAGTCAAAGGAAGGTCCACTTGGCATGTCCTACACCGTTTGTAAATATCACAAATTTAATACTCCTCAGCCTCTCAGTGTCCTCCAATAGATGTCCACTCATTGACCTCAGTACATGTCTACTCACTGTCCTCAATACCATGGCCACTGTAACTGCTAGTTGTGTTGATGATTAAAGCCTGTGAATAGCATGTGTCTGTTGCATATATTCATACCTGAGCCCCTGTGGCTATTTCATCTGCAGCTTCGTTCATTACTCCCAGAGTCTGGAAAGCAAATACGCACAACTCCCGCTCACACACCGTGGGCTGTAGTACAAGGAAACATAAAAGAGAAAAAAATTAGATATAAACAAGTGTTTACAAACGGACACTGTGAGAATTACAGCATGTCAACTACAACAACACCAATTTACTTTTATACAGCGGCTTTTACGTCAGGAGGGTAGCTGAATGAAATTAACAGAAGGGACAGGAGTGGAGCTGGGGGTGGGGGGGTTTGGTGGGGGAGGAGGGTAGAGCTGAGCAAGGAGGAGGGGGCAAAAGTGACCAAACGTGCAGTCTAATAGAGTAGTTTTAAGACAGGCTTTAAAGGTGAAACTAAACAGATGGTTTGTTTTACTGATCCCTCTGTAAAGATCAAGCCACGTGTTACCTTAATGATCAGATGCAAGTACTGCATGCTTTTGAAAACTTTCTTCAGGACTTTTTACGGTATAAAAACACTGTTTTAAATGTGGTTACATTTATTGGCTCAGGAGCTTCCAAAATCTCTCTAGACCCTCTGTATAAGAAGAATCTCATCTATAGATCTTGTGTTGCCTTGTGTTATTCCAGCCATAACACAGGGAGAGGGGCAGAAATTCATGCCAGACTGCACTTACGCCTCCTAGTGGTTAATTACAGAATGGCATTAATAGATACCTTGAAGTTGATCACTTTCTGATGTTCTTGACCAAGAAATAGCACATGCTCTAATGGGATGGGCCAGGATGGGGGAGAGAAGGGGGAATTGGAAAAGAGGAGACAAAAACAGGATAATATTAAATGTTTTTAAACCCCCCCAAAAAAATTCTGAGTTTAAAAAGAAAACAAGCAAGTGTCCAGACCAGGTGCTCGGAGGAGCACTGCGACAGGGAAGAAGTTGGGGTTAATGCAGACATGTTTAGTTTGGTCTCACAATTCAGCGATGGATCCCACGAGGCTTATTTAATGAAGTGGTCCAAGTTTCGGATTGCAGGCATGGGTGGTATTGGGGAGGGGGGGTGGTCCAAGACCAACCTGAGATTGGGAGTTCACCTGATTTTTTTAATGGAAAATAGATACAATAAATTCTTGCATTTGATATCAGATTCATCTACATTTTGCATACAGGTCTGACCACTGTTAGATTTCTGTAAACTAAATGAAGGAAGACAGCAGGGATACCTCACCGGACACAGGACCACGCTACCAGAATTCACCCGCAGAACCTTCCAGAGCCTGTTGACTCAATCCGTCACAGAAATGCATGTCATGTAAATAAGTTCCTTTCTGGAAGCTCTGGAACTTTCATTGCCGTGCCACTAATGGTCAGCAGTTGGCAGCACTTGCTGTTTAGCAGTGAACGTCCAGTGCATCACCAAGTGAATGTCAGTGGAATCCCTAACATTATAATCATAAGCCTTACATCTGATGTAGCGCCTATCACGTCAGGAGGACGTCCCAAAGTGCTTCACCGGATTTACTATGAAGTGTAGTGACTGTATTTTGCAGGTGAATCTGACAGCTAGTTTGCAGCTACAATGTCCAAAATGACCAATTTTATCTGGTGAGTTGTTGGCCATGACACTGGGAGAAACTCCCTTCTCTTATCTCCAAAACCTGAAAAATAGTTCAGAAGAGACACTGACTGTTATGTGTACCTTTGACGTATTGAATATGCCACAGCACAGCAGCGAAGCCACACAAGCTTATATCAGAACATTTTTATTTTCAGTTTCTCATTCTACACGAGTGGGAATTTCTCATCGTAAAAATTTATATATGTTCCAAAATATTGCTGACTGCCCATTCACATACGACACCCTGCAGTCTGTTTGCTGCTCTACTATTAGTAAAAGCACCATACAAATTCACACTTCCTTGCAGCAACAATTCTTCCTATGTCACACTGTTTAAAATGGCAATGCTGGGGATTAATTTGAGATATTTGATGTGTTAATTGTGATTAACTCATTCACTCTCCTTGGCCCTCCCCCACCCCCCAACTCAGGTGCCCAGGCAACTGCTTACAACAACAACAACAACAAGATTCCATTTATTGAGCGCCTTTCACGTCGGGAGGACGTCCCAAGGCGCTGTACAGTTGGGTCAGGATCCGAGCAGGGGGGAAATGGTCAGGGTGAGGAGAGGGAAGGGAGGGAGCGAGGAAGGGGTAGAGGGTCGAGAGGGGAGCTGAAGGCACGGTCAAAGAGAAAGGTCTTGAGAACAGCCTTGAAGGAGGAAAGGGAGGAGGCAAGGCGAAGGCACTGGGGGATGGAGTTCCAGAGCCTCGGGGCTGAGAGGCTGAAGGCCTGGCCAACGATGGTAGGGCGGTTGGGGCGGGGGATGTGGAGCAGACCGGAGCCAGAGGAACGGAGGGTACGGGCAGGTAGGTAGGGGGATAGTAGATCGGAGAGGTAGGAGGGAGCAAGGCCGTGAATGGCCTTGTAGGTGAGGATGAGGATCTTGAATTCGATCCTCTGGGGGATGGGGAGCCAGTGGAGGCGAGCGAGGGTGGGAGTGATGTGGTCGCGAAGCCTGGTGCGGGACAGTACACGAGCTGCAGAGTTCTGAATGACCTGCAGCTTGTGGAGGGAGGTGCCGGGAAGGCCGGCGAGGAGAGAGTTCCCATAGTCCAGCCTTGAGGTGATAAAGGCGTGGACCAGAGTTTCAGCAGCGTGAGGGGTGAGGTAATGCCGTAGTCTGGCGATGTTCCGGAGGTGATGGAAGGCGGTGCCAGTTGTGGCGCGGATATGAGGAAGAAAGGACAGCTCAGGGTCGAACAGAACCCCGAGGTTCCTGACTGGCTTTCAGAGGTGGAGAGTGCAGCCTTGGATGCTGATGCTGTCAGCGCCTGAGGTGCAGAGGCGCTGACGTGAGCCAATCAGGAGGGCCTCAGTTTTGCGCACGTTGAGCTGGAGAAAGTTATCTCTCGTCCAGGACTCGATGTCAGACAGGCAGCTGTCAGGACATCGGTGGTCGTGGAGTTGAGGGTAGAGGAGGAAAGGTAGAGTTGGGTGTCATCCGCATACATGTGGAAGTTAACCCCATGTCTGCGGATGATGTCACCAAGGGGGAGCATATAGAGGGTGAAGAGGAGGGGACCGAGGACAGAGCCTTGAGGGACACCGAACGAGACATTGCGGGGGCTGGAGGAAAAACCATTAGTGGAGACAAAGTGAGAGGTACGACCTAAACCACTCAAGGACAGGGCCTTGAAGGTTTAGGTGGGAGGACAAGCGGTGGAGGAGGATAGCGTGGTCGACCGTATCGAATGCTGCCGATAGGTCGAGGAGGACGAGGAGGCAGAGGGAGCCCTGGTCACAGATGGTCAGGATGTCATTGGTGACCTTGACCAGGGCAGTTTCTGTGCTATGGGCAGCACGGAAACCCGACTGAAGGGGTTCGAATAATGAATGGTTGGAGAGGAAAGAGCGCAGCACTTTGAGACATTCTCCTGACATGAAAAGTGTCCAGTGTCTTGGGACATCCTCCCGATGTGAAAGGCGCTATAGAAATGTAATCTTGTTGTTGTTGTTGTATTTACAAATATTGGAGTTTATTTCATTAGATGCAGGTGTCACATATTTTCAATGCTGTTTGGTTTTTCTATATTGAATGTCAACAACAACTTGCATTTATATAGAACCCTCCACGCTAGGCAGTGTCTCAGAGTGCTTAACAATGGGGGAGCCCGAGGGCGAGCCAGGGGGAGGAGGAAGGTGACCGTAGGTACGGTCGATGAGGAAGGTCTTCAGGCGAAACCTGAAGATGGGGAAGGAAGGGGCGAGGCGAAGGGGTTGAGGGAGGGAGTTCCAAAGTTTCGGGACATAGTGGCTGAAGGCACGACCGCCGATGGTGGAGCAGAGGATTCGGGGGTCACTGAAGTGGCCAGACCCAGTATTGCAGAGGCAACAGGTACTGCTATGGGGAGAGAGGAGGTTGGAGAGATGTCCTCAATGACTCTTTCAGGCTCACTATCAATTTCAGCTTTGCTCCTTCCAAACCTAGACTGTGGAATTCGCTGATCAGGTAGGTACAAATATCAAGCTCATACTAATCTGGGTCAGCAATAAAATACAAAGAAATCATTCTTCATGTTTTACAAAATAAGGACTGAAATATATCAGCGATCTCACTAGTTATTTCTTCCAATTACAACAAAATCTTAAAAATAATAATTCTTACATTTTGGTATAGCACCTTTCACATCAAGAGGACATCTCCAACCTCTTCACAGGATTTACTGTAAAGTATCTTGTGTAATTTGCACATGAACGAGATAGCCAATTTGCACCCAGCAATTTCCCCAAAACAGCCACAAGGTGAATGACTAATTTTCTTTGGGGGAGACTGTTGGCAGGATACTGGGAGAAACTCCCTTCTCATTTTAAGAAGATACTGTGGAGTTTTTAACATCCACCTAAACTTGGTTTAACCTTTTAACTGACCTCCAACAAACAGCTAGCCCCAGCACTGTATTGAAATGCCAGCCTATTCTATATGAGTTCACAGCCCCAGTTGGAATATGGTTCAACACCTAGGTTTGTACATGGATGGATACATATTTTATAAATGTTCTGAATTATGAGTTCAGTAAAATAAGCCCAGTTATGCACCAGTGATAAACATCATTCCAGCCGAATAAACTATTGATTTCAAATACTAAAAGAATACATATATGACTGCGGTGCACAATTGGCTGCCGTGTTTCGCCCACAAAATATACAGTTAATTCACTTTACAGTATATTCCGTGAAGCGCTTTGAGATGTCTCGAAGATGTGATGAGGTGCTATATCAAATGCAAGGATTTATTATTATTATTATATGATTATTATTTACATTATTATATTATTATTAGTTACAGACTTTAAGAGTGACAATCAGAAATGTTCTTTGTGTAGCTCTGCTTCTCTTTCAATTCGCTTCTCAGATCTGACCTCCCTCTCTGATGTGAAAATCACATACATCATTTCGGAAGTCTGCCTACACCTTGACAAAGACTTCTAAACTTAACAAATCATTCATTGTAGTTCTGGCGGGGCTTCAGAGTATTTCTTCAAT